CACAGCACCAATAAATTTTGGCGCCAGTGAGAGAGCTTCACATCTCTCGGACATTCACTTTAGCCGGTGGACGAAGATCTGAATGAATTCTGGACAAACGTCAGGAGTACAGTCAGAGGGAATTATCCTTGCAGTAAATTATTCAAATGTTCGTTCACTCATATACTGTACAGTATATACTTTTGGAACAAGGAAACGGCGCTGAATGATGAGTAACTTTTGACCAATCAACTTTGGATCGCATGAGAATAATTGTGGGCAATTATTGATTTTGCTCCTTGCGGTCGTGAGATGTGGGGGTACTGGTCGCACTTCCTCAAATTCTGTTTATAATTTTTCTTCCTCTAATGCTTTCGCTTCAACTCTGTGAAAAAAACACATCTTTCAACAATCGATAATAATATAACTAGGGAACAACATTATGATAAAAAAGTTGAGTACAAGAAACCCTTCGCAAGGTTAGGCAGAACAACCACAATAGGGAGATCCAAAAACACCGTCTTGCATCGATTTGTCATCTTTCAATCAACATAATGCACTAGGAGTAATTGATAGATTGGCGCGTTCACAACCATCATGAACTCGTAGAAGGTCGCACACAGCAGCTAGTGAGTCTCAACGTCCATAGGTGCCAAGTGGCATGTAAAGCATACGCAAAGATATATGGAGAGTGCATACCAACCATTGGCTCCCTTTTGCATACGATATATGAGGAGTACCCCAATGTCAAGCAACCTATCAATACGTGCACACACGAAGATTCGCTAGGTACTCTTCACAAATAATGTGATGCCAAGTTGTTTACAAGTCGAATGCAACGATCTAGGGTGACAAGGAGAACGTTGAGACTAGTGACAATGAATGCTGTGCAAGTAGCACTAGATTGGACAAGCCGCACAGGAAACAACGGTGAGACCCCGTAAAGCCAAAGAAGCACAAAACATATGAGAGATCTAACCAAGTCTTACATGATCATGCCACTAAATCCCAAGCGGAATCGCAATGAGAAATTAGAAAATTGCATCTAATAGATCCAAACTGTCATTTTCAAACAGCTTTGCATACAGTTGTAGAGAGACTGTAGAAACATACTGCTTGTATTCCATTATTACAAGCAGTATGCCCTCAGTCTAAATCAACGATGGTATTCAAATTTTCGACCATTATGTATTTGCTCACTCTTCGAAGAATAATGTTAACCAACATTGATATCCTCGGTTAAAAAATTTAATTTATCTTTCTAAAAGGAAATTCCTGGAATAATATCCTTATCTTGCACTGAATCACATCTGTTATCGCACCTCTATAAAAAAAATTCAATTTTGTGTTGAAATTTTTATACTGAGTCTTGCAATTCTTCTTGTTTCAAGAGACAAATCACTGTTTGAAAAGAATTGATTGTGAATCTTCATATTTTGACCATATTTTTCAAATTTAATATTTTTTTAAAAAAATTGGTTTTTTTTTCAGATGTCAGTATACGTATAGAAACAGTGTGTGAGGATATATTCTGTATGTCTTTTGCAAAGTTACTGGTTTTTTGGAAAAAACACTAATTTGGTGGACAAGAAAAAACTTTGAATTGATCTTTTTTGGTAAAGTAAGTATTAAATATCTCACGTCTAATTTATTATATAACAACCTATTTTTATTAAAATATTTCTTTCTTATTTAATTTTAAAAAAATCATATATAATAAATGTTTCAATAAATTTCTATTATAATAAATATGAAAAAATAGTTTTGAAAATCTTTTAAAAATATTTAACATTTATTATTATCATTATTTAATTTCTGATTATAAATTTATGGAGTTTTTAATCGAAATCAAAACTTCAATAATCGTATTTTTTTTATGGAAGCAGAACAAAATCAAATATTGTTAAAACCTTAGAAGTTAAGTTTTTGATGTGTTGCAATCTCTCCGGTCTAAAATTTAATACGTCTATCATAAAATTATGAATACAAATATCAATTAAAATTATGAATACAATATGAATAAATTTTAGAATCTCAAATAAGAAGTATAATATTAATATGTCTTATGATATATATTATTCATGATTATGAACGTTATTTTTAGAAAAAATTATTGTATTGTTAGAAAATTAATTTCTTGAGAAAGGGTAATTGTGTTTTTTAAATCAAAAGAAAAATAATTATTGCAAGGAGCTTAACACATAATTTTTTTTCAATATAGGTAAATCTATATCCAGATATACGTTTCTAATAAGTGAGAAGTGTAGGTAGTTCAAGAGCTTCGATGTGATTCCTAAAGATCTCCGTAGCATAAATATGATGAAGACATTTTTCTCAAAACACTGTAAAGGCATATGGAATGAATATCTAGACTATAAAATAACAAAAACTGCCAAATGTGCAGAATATGAATATAGTCTTCATCTTATTAACAAATGAGCATGCTAGCAGGTAAATGTTATAGTAAGCAAGCTCAGAAGCTCAATGGTGTGGTTTAAGAAGAGTTTGCATCTTGCCTAGCAATAAACCATAAACATGTGCAAAGTTCTACATAGATGAAATACAAAATCTCACGTATGGGAGCTTTTGTTACAAGAGTGAAATGTTGTATGGATATCGATATTGTCTCATTGTATGTCTGAATTCTGCGTGCACTAGTAGCTGCCAAACTATCAAAAGATCTTTGCTACTCTGCAACCTTAGGCGGAAGATTATAATGTGCAGATCATAAAGGTAAACTGTGAGGGGTGATGATCTCTTTCAACTCGTAAAAGAGACCTACCTAAGAAAGATATAACAAAATCATAACCTTGAGCACCATTGAGGAGCCATTCAACCCTAACCGCCTAGAAAGGTTGAAGGGACAGAATACTCCATGGTCGATAGACCTATGTCCCTATGAAACAAACCAGTTTCAAGCTTGAAGACGTGACAAAGTACATGCGCCTGAACCCATGAAATCTCTAGAGACCAAATGAACCTCTGACCATAGAAATGATAAAGGAGATGATAAAATGAGACGTGGAATTCATATGAACTTTGTTGTTGATTAGACATCCTTTAGCATAGGAATGTTTTCTTAGCTACAATCATGTCAAGGCAAGGGCTATTGTACTCTACCATGTACATCCTACATTCTTTGTAAATGAGATGTAACACCAGCCTTACTACGGAAAGAATCCAGCCGTTACTTGCTTGTATCGGGGTTCGCGTACACCCGTGTGTGTTGTTCGCTTAGTCTGAGCTGAAAGATGAGCTTATTTCATTAGATTTTGTTGCCTCACAGTCCTCATTACTTACGAGACCTTAGAGTCGTCAACATTGTACGTAAGTAGTTCACAAAAATCAGAACAGATCTCTTATGTATGTACCAAGCTGAGTTCAACGTGGACTTCAGCAGTTACTTCCGCTGATCAAGTATTTTTCTGGTACCCAAACCCTTAAATGCCCGGGTTAGAATGGGAAAGAATCCAGTTTCGAAATCAATCTACATGACTAACGGTCTTTCAGCCACACGTGTCTAAATGTGTGTTTGCTCATATGGATTTGATTTCTATCAAACGTACTTTCAGATACATATACGTATCTAAATTTCTCTTAACCAACGACTTGTCTCGCACTGCTCCAATCATCAAATGTTCAAAGTCGGATTATCAACAAGCTTATTTGGAAATGCAAAACAATTAGAGAAATCATTTGTTTCTCTATCCGCAGCCGAAGAACCCGTTAGTGTTTTCATGTGCAACCGACAAATTCGACAAGGGGGTACCATATCTTCGGAGCGTACTTGGAGTTATGCCGCATATTGAAGTGATTAAGTTGCATGAAAAGAAAAGTTATATGCATAATAAAATCTACCAAGGGATTTTATATGCTTATGTGCACATGTGAAGAAATCTTCTACTTGCTGGTTCATGAATCAGTTCTGGTGAATCTCCTTCAGAGATCGAGTGAGATCTCACGCTCCATATTAAATTACCAGATCACAAGGGCGACAGTTCATAAAGTGGAAGAGGAGGGGAGGGGATGAGGGGGGGGCCAGGGGCAGGGGGTGAAAACCTCAGATGTTGGTAAGAATTCATCCCCTTGTTTGTTGTGCATGGTGGATCCGACGAGAATTCATTGCCAATCAAGTGCGAATAAGTCTTGAGGGTATCTTGCATGGGGCGATCTCGAAACCACAAAAGGACCCGGAATTTCAGCCCAATTTTAAGGGTCCAAACTGGCGAAGATTCAACATTCCATCGCGTGACGATCATCGCTTGCATGGATGGCGATCCTGCAGCTTTGCACAGTACACTACCCACAGCACAGTAGTTCCGGAACAAAACTCACGGTACACCGGACCGAACCTAACTCAGTAGCCAAATACAAGGTTGACTTACGAGGCCGCATCAATGAGCACCACAATAATGATTTATATGCCAGAAATTTATCGCCGAAAGAGCGTCATAATAACTTTAAGGTATTATTCACTCGCCCACACCCACCGGTGACCTCCGGTACTTCCACCCCCACCCTCCTCTCGCCGAGACCCCGCTCTGTCTTTACTCCGATCTTATCCCCGCATGCTCCGGTGACCATGACCGCCTGAGTGCCTGCCTGACCTGACCGACCGACCGACGGACTCGCTGACCCCGCTAAGAGAGGGCAGGGCGCCACCAGTGACGTGCAGTATTTTGGCCTTAGGGGCGAGCTCGAGTTGTCGGCTGCGTTGGTGCGCGGAACGAGGGAAAGCGGGAGTTAGGGAGAGAGAGAGAGAGAGAGAGAAAGAGAAAGAGAGGTGATGGAGGGCGGAGGAGCAACGGAGGGATGGCGGTGCGGCGACGAGGGTCGTCGTCGTCGAATGCAGCTGAAAGGCGTAATGCGGTGAGACAAAGAGGACGAAAGGGGCGGGATTCAGTTGCGCAGCGTCAGCAGAAAGGCTCGGAGGAAGGCGAGTGAGGACGGAAGGGAAAGGAGGCGAAGAAGAGAGAGGCGGAAGAGTTGGCATCGGAGGAGGAAGAGCGAAGCAGCAGGATATAGGAGGGGAGGGGATCAGGGTGCGAGGGGGAGCGGCGAGAAAAGAGAGGGAGAGAGAGAGGGAGGGAGGGAGTGGGGGCAGGGGGCGAGGAGATAGAGTCGGGAGGAGAGCGATTTGTGACGGACGTGCGCTGGCCATGATGTTCTCTTTGGTGGTATTCAAGCGACGCCGTTGGCTGCGGAGCAGAAAGGTGCGTCAGATGGGCTTGTATTGTGGTTGTGGACAACTTTCTATTTGAGAACATGGGGTTTCCGAGGGCCAGGGAGGGGATTTGATTGGGGTGTGTTCATGCGTTTTGTGGTCGATAGCGACGAACCTCGACTCTGCTACCGCATCGGACCTTGAGGTTGACATTCACGTTCTCTCGAGGTCCGGCGGGAAAAAGAATTGTTTTTTTTCCCGGTCGTACGTTCGTTCTGTGCTCGTGTTGCAAGCGTCATGTTCATCTCGTTGACATTGATTTAGTTGAGATCTCATCTTCGGCTCCGCTCAAGGTCAGCTCGGTTCATTCCTCTGTGTTGAGTCACAAGGAAGGAGAGGGCAGGGGCAGGAGAGGAGAGCTCATCTTCTGTTGAACTGCAGAAGCGTTCCTTCCCTGGGCTTTGCTGCAATGTTCTGGGCCGGGCAGGATGCAACCTCAATGTTGTTAGATTGGAATGATCCTTACTCTCTCTGGATCATGCTGAGTCCTGGAGTTGTATTGTGGCTTTTGGTCCAGGCCGCCGAGACTCTGCAACAATCTTGGTTGCCAGAGTTTGCACTTCGGGGCTTGCAGGCGACAAACATCTTAGAAGATGTGTCATCGTTCAACCTGTCTGTGGTCAATTAAGTTCGAAAATCTACCATTAATCGCTGGATGAGACCGAGTGTTGAAACTCCTTTCCCGCGGAGTATACCTCTATCTATGGAAATTCCAACCTGTTTCGGTGGCGGGGTACACTTTCGTCACAATGTAAGCACTTACCACTCGGTCAATCTGCTCAGTCGCTTGTCAACATTTATGCCCCCGAACGCCCATTGCTTGCTCATGTCTCGTGTAGCGGGGTCATCCGCTCCTGTACGTTGCGGGGGCGCCCTGTAGTCTGTGACAGCTCTCATTGTCGTGGTCTCGAGTCCTTTCCTTGGAGTTGGAGTCAATAGAGCACGTTTCCCGGTGTCTCGAGCAGTAGATGTGAAACGGGCGTACTGTGCTCGCGTGAGCAGGTGTGCAGCGCAAGAGGACAATCTCGCGCGGCGCCATGTCGAGACCTCGGGAAATTAACTCGCCTCGTGTGGTGTGTTCAGCTGGCCGAGAAATACGTGGGACATGCGAGGCTGCTGATGCCGAGCCAAGACCCGGCGGACGTATGCGCAGCCATCAGCCTGCTGGACGCGGCTCTGAAGCTGTCACCGCAATGGGAGAAAGCGCTGGAGCTGAAGGCGAGGGCGCTGCTGAGCTTGAGGCGATTCAAAGAAGTGGCCCACATGCTGCAGGACTACATTCCGAGCGCCAAGCTTGGCAGCGAGGCCTCGCCCCCGGAGAGCCCCCTGTTCGGGAAGGACAAGGTGCAGCTGCTCTCGAGCTACATCGCCGAGGAGAAATCCAAGAGGAGGTCGCTCATGAAGTACCTAGCCGTGAGCAAATTGAAAAAGATCCTCATCACGGGCCTCTCGAGGCGCGGGGAGCGCAACGAGTGGCGCTATCTTGTGCTGGGCCAGGCCTGCTGCCATCTGGGCATGATGGAGGACGCCATGGTTCTGCTGCAGAACGGCAAGAAGGCAGCGTGCGCCGCTTTCCGGCGGGAAAGCATTAGCCTGGGCGAGGACAGCTTCTGCGCCGACGCATTCGCGGGGCCCGATTCAGATTTCGTTAGCCACCTTCTCGGTAACATCAAGTTTCTGCTCCGGAGAAGAGCTGCGGCTCTGGCCGCCATGGAAGCCGGGCTGTACCCTGAAGCCGTGCGCCATTTTTCCAAGATCTTAGACGGGCGCCGTGGAACGCCCCAGGGATTCATTGCCGAGTGCTATCTTTACCGAGCCTTGGCTCATAAGGCGTCCGGGAGAATCCCGGACGCCATTGCGGATTGCAACAGGACTCTGGCTTTGGACCCCACTTGCGTCGAGGCGCTGAGCACCCGCGCTTCTCTCTACGAAATGATCAGGTGCTTTTACGAAGCGCTGCAAGATTATAAACAGCTTAAGGGTCTGTACGATGCTCTGGCCCAGCACCAGAGGCTACCCAGGTGCGCATGGAGATTTCCTCAGAACAGCAGCTACATGGACGTGCCGAGCAGTCTGTATCAACTCGACATTAAAATAAGCGGCGTGAAGCAGAGGCTGGAAAGTCGATATACCATTGACTACCATACAATTCTGGGTCTGACACCCGGCTGTACGAAGAATGAGGTCGAAAGGGCCCATCTCTTGATCTGCCTCAAGCACCGGCCTGACAAAGCCTCACATTTTATTGATAGGTGCGAATTCGTGGACGACAGGGATATCGAAGCTGTGAAAGAAGAAGCCCGTCTCGCCGCCACCAGACTATTCCGCCTTATTCAAAGCGCGCATTCCGGCGTCATGCATGGCCTGGTCGAGGAAGAAAACGAGAAGCGAAAGAGGTCCTTGCGCTGCCTTCAGTACGCTGCCGAAGGCGCAGCCGGGGCATCACGAGCATCCCTCCCAGCCCAAGCCCAAACAGTGGAGGACGTCGCTGTGGAGGAAAGAGTGGAGTCCGGTACCACTGGGAATAAGAGTATCGAGGAGGACATTGTTCCCGGCCCCACTCCATCATCGTGGTCCACCAGTGAGGAAGCTTGCTCTCTCGTCCCCGCTTCCTCCTGCAGTATGGAGAATTCTCAGTGTGAGGCCGATCTGGAAGTCTTTATGCCCAGAGGCGATGAGGAAATGGATAGGCAGCACGAGCAGCAACTTGTAAATAATATTTCCCACTCAGGCAAGATTGCCGTGAGCCAACAGCCGGCCGGCTCCGTCAGTGCGTCGGTGAACTCTCATCAGCAGCAGACTGGGATGGCGATTGAAAGTGTCGAAACAGCAGCTGTGGTGCATACGGCTCAAAGTGCTGTGTGTTTGTCAGCTTCCGAGTGCGCTTCCGCCGAGGCCAAGCCGGCACCTGCTCTTACAGCATGCCGCGAGGTGCTCGCTGTGGAGACCAAGCTGGCTATTGTCTTGTCTCCTAGCAACTGGATCAATTCTTCGGAAGGAAATTGTTGGACGTTCCAAAACCATCACACCCCGATGCCCCTGCAGGTCACCTGAGAAGATGATGAGAGGCTGGGTGGGCTTTGTTCCACATAGTACTGTGTTTCCTCGCCTTTCAGCACTAGAATATCTTGGATGAGGTTGGAGGATTTTGGTCCAAGCGGCCAAGCAGCGCGTTGCCTGAAATGTTACTGAGTGCGAATTGGGAACTCCAGGACGTCCTATGTTTACTCAGCTTGATATTGGAACTCCATCCAATGTAACTTCACCGCGACTTGCTGTGAGAAACGTTGAATTCATGAGTCCTCTCAGTCAGTCTCCCACCTCGTGATTCTTTGAAGGATCTCCATTGAGCTGCGGATTGCTGCTGGGGGACCTGGGAGAGAGATCCATGGACCCTGAAAGGCACTGATTGTGTCTTCGCGAGGAAGGGGGACATAGAACGACTGTGATCTACATCGACGAGGCTGCGAAAACCCTCAGTGAAAGTTTTTCGAAAACGGGAGTTTGACATGAGGTCTGAGGATTATAGAAAAAACACTGTCTCGGCTCGCACCCCTGGCTGGGAGTGGGAATTTTGAGCTCGATCACACTGCTCATGCCACTTCTCAAGCTCATGTTACCTACCAATTCCACTGACTCATTCTCGACAATAGCTTCATTCACCGGATGGATTATTATCTACCCTTTTAGTAGATGAAGACGCAAGTCTAGTTCTACTCACATCTCGTGACGTGTTGTCTCTCGCGTACCACCAGCAGAACCAGCATGGATGGTATAGGTAGTTAACGCCATGCGCATTTTGTCAAGTGTAATATACGTAGGTCATCTCTGCAGCAGCTGCAGTTTCCCGATTTTTGGTCCGAAGAGCGAGCACTTGTGAAAGATGAGTGCTCGATTATCACTCTGGCCTCTGCCATCGTTATTTCAACTTCAGGCATCCGACCCGACCAGGTTGTAGCATCCCGAGCATATAAAGCAGTATTTCCCGAAGGCGAGGAAACTCTGGACAGGAATCTAGTGTCTGCGTCACTCCTCTCCACCTGTACATGGACTGTCTCTTCGGCCGCAGACTATCTTTAGTAGCTTTACATCTGTAATTTACACTCTTTCGGTCAGGTAATGTGAAGGATTTCATTCTGGGCTGTAGTTGCCCTCTCTCCGCCCTATAATACTTAGTAATATGAAGGTTTTCATTCTGGGCTGTTCGCATACACTTGCGTGCTTGCGAACTCCACATTTTGATTTCCGTTTGTCTTTGTTTATGTACGTTACGTGGTCCAGCATCTCGCGAGAGGTAGACACATTCGCGTACACTCCTATGTTCACGCTATTTTGTGGTGGAAAGACATACTGCGCTATTGAGTAATTAAAGTATTTAACTGAAGTTGTTGACCGAGACCATAATCGAGCTGGATGACACAGTCAGTTGTCGCCTGACTTACAGCCGACCTGGACTTGAAACCTAACTGAAATCAAGGGTTTGCAGGCTTTTCGAGTCTTGATATGCGGAGACTTGGATAGAATCAGAGGATCCTCTACAGTCCAGCCGGAAACCGTCAACGGATGCCTGGCCAACAGAGTGTAGTACCGTTCCAGCTTAAATGTGCAGGTCGTACAGGCAGTCACATGTAGAGATTGTTGTGTGAAGGAATGTACAACCGTAGTTCTCGCGATACCCGGCCCCAATCTCTACTACCTGCAATGTTCAATTCGTGAAATGACGAGCGTCTCAAGTACGATTAAAGCCAGTTTGAAACTGACCAGCATTTACGGTCTATGCATGAATGAATTTACACACCATGTTCTTAGGCCCGTGAAGCCCAGTCAGACAAGCGGGAGGGATGTTGATCACAGCCATACGAAACTCGCTTCGATCCCAAATGTCGAGAATATCTTCCTCACCTCCGTCGCACACTGTCCACTACTCATATTTGACTTCAATCTGAGGGAATGGAAGTCCGAATGTTCCGCGGTCTGGCGGGTAATCGGGAGACTTTGTCAAGAGGTAAAATGAAAATAGATACTTCTGTTTCGTTGCGAAGGATTTGATTGACAACGTCAAACTGATATCTGGATAGACAGTTGAAAGTATGTCGAAGAATTTGGGCCCGAAAATACGATAATGTGGATAAGTTGAAAGGTACGTAGTGTAAAATCCCCTGGGGGATGCAGGAAAGTGGATAAATCGTGTGGTCAACTTCGCTGTCTCCTGGGGTTAGAAGTCGGGACATGATGATGAGATTTTACAACTTGCACGCCTGACGGGACGGACGCGAGTCAAGCAAGGGCGACTAGTGAGAAAGACCGAGGGAAGGAAGTCTGGCCAGCGTTAAGAGCCAAACGGCATCACATAGGGAACCATGATGAGACTTCTGCCCACATTTATGTCTTCCCAGGCGGAAAAGCGTCCGCCAAAAGCCTGGCTCGCGTTCGACTAGGGCTCAACCGAAAACTGTGGAAAGCTGAGGGAGGGCAGGACACAATGCCATGTACAGGACACTGTGGGCTGCGCATACGAGGTACGTACGGTGAAAGAGCATGGTCGTATGTCATGATGGATGCATTCCCTGCTCCCGAGGCTCAGTCAGTCAGTCAGTCAGTCAGACTGAGCAGAGAAAAGGCAGCGGCAGGAGGATGAGTGGGCCGTGATTCCCAGTCCCCACCGGCACGCAGAACTAGGGAGCCCCAATGGAAGGAACTGCATCAGCAACTGCGATGAATCTCCCTCCGACTTCAACTCCACACGCATCAACCACGGTTGCCTCGCCCAACGAAGGCATCCGATCGTTCCACGGACGGATGTCATTAACCGGGAGCAGCCCCGGTCGACGCCACCGAGCAGTGCTAGATTCTTGTGTCGTAATGTGGTAGCTGAGCAAACAGGATCCAACATGAAACAATCCTTCCCGTAGTACGGCGGCCGACGACGATGGCAACGTGTCAGCCTTCGAGCTCAGACAGACTAATGTCGTGCCCTTTGGCAAACTGCGGGTTACGAGAACCGGGAGGAGGCGGAAGAGGAGTTCCCTTGGTAGCACATCAACAGACCTTCTTCCCCAATTAAGGACACCATCTTTCTCAGCTCCACTGAGTCTCTGTTCATGAAGAAGGCATGCCGAAAGAGTAATTAGCTCACCTCTCTGCTTCCCCGGAGTTGTTGATCAAGGATGATCGAGGTTGCTCCGACAGCATCTTGGATCTTCCGAGTGTACGTTGTGTGGACATGTTCATCCATTAGGCGAGTAAGTAGGTGGCCGTTGTGACGCCTACTATTTCAGACCAGGACTTGCGAGAGTAGTTGACGGATGTCGATCAGTCGTGGAATATGCATTTGTGTAGCCCCGAATCGAATGGGCTACAGAAAATGATGCAGTGCTCTTGGTGTACGGGCCGGAACAGGTCTACTTGACATCAAAGCGGCACAGCGTCAGTGTTGCGTAGGTGCTGTACGAGCTTATACAGTACTGTAGCATGTTATCCAGCTCTATCCGCGAGCACAGTTGGCTAGCGCTGGTCGGCCCTAAGTAAGCACGTAGGAGATATTTGTGAACACATCATGTCCCGCACCACATACTCTTGAATCATGGTACGATGGGCGCCTCGACAATGCATTGCTATGCAACACAAATCTCCAGCATTCGGTGTGATGAGTCTTGCTGACACCCAACAACGCATGATCTGTCACCAGCGTATTTCCCTCCAGATCGGCTAAGAATGTCTCTCTTCTCCAGCTGGGCATCACAGAAAGCTCGAAATTTCTCCTCCAGGTGTCGATGAGCGAATGTAGGAAGTAGTCAAAGAAGGAATGTCTCCCGAAGGGCCCCAGAATCTGCTTGCCATATCTGGAGTTGATCAAATCCTTGGTGGCTTCACCATTTTTGAGGGACAATGCCTAGCACTCTAAAGAGGTGTGACCTACATCTCACCATCGAGCCTCTCAATTCCTATTGTACTTGAGGAGAAGTATCGACTGGATCTGATGACACACACGAGCGTCAGTGCTCTATCTCGCATGGTGCGTGGGTTGGTAATGACCTGATCAACCAGCAACTAAACTCTCACAGCTTCTGTAGTAAGAAGCAAGAAGCACAATGCGCCTGCATACCAGATGGATCTGGTGTAGATGACAAGGCAAACAATTTGTCAACTTTAAAAACACCTATAAATTTAGATAGGGAAAGCAAGTACCTCCTTCACAGCTAAACGTCCATGAAATCGTATAATAAAATGTGTCACATCATATGCATGAATTGTACTTTTGAATGTCAGCAGATCAGTATTTCTTAACTCTACCAAGTCGAGTTGCATAACTTACATCCATCATCAAATAGTGTACAAGAAGAGGTACAATATAATAATACTGCAGTCGCAGGTTACCAAGTTTGATCGTACGTACAATACACAGCCTGACTTCTTTATGTTACTTATATCAGCTCAAAACGAAGTTCTTCGCACCGTACACTTGTACTAAGCTTGATTTCTAGAAGAAGCATCATCGATGATGATAAGGACAATACGATTTCAGTTCTAACGCTGTACTGCACGACCAAAGTCTTTTAAATCACGTATTTAAGCAGCTTCTTTCTGAAGAAGACACCGAATTGACATGAGCCGACATTGCCTACAACGAGGAACAGTTCAGAGTCCTTTTTATGGTGACAGGCCAAAGAAAGGATGACGTAATGCTCAAGAGAGATACCAAAATTTGAGTACGACTTCTTCTATCTTCGTTTCACATCTTCTGTTGTTCAGTACGTGAATGCAGTGTCCTCTACAGTGTGTACAGAGAGAAAGAAAGCGAGAGAGTGACTAGTATATGAATAAATGTCTTGGATCACATCTTCTTTAATAGAAGGTGGAGTTACTCGAGAATTTCAACTACGATGCATTAAAATACTCAATTCGGCTTACTTAGAATGGTAGAATTCGGCGTTGGACGGAAAGTATATTCCGGTGAACTGCTCCAAGAACAAGATTCATTAATTTCCTCTGCCTGATCATGCTGACAATTAGAGGTACAATGCATGAATAAGTGCAAGTGTTACGAGCTATAATGTTTTGTGGTTGCAAATGTCATTGCACCTCACATTCCAATTTTGCCGTTGGGTTTCACTTGTGCAATTGGTACATCCAGACTGTTGAGTTCGAGGAGACTAGACGTCAAATTTAAGCTAGCCAACAAACACACGTCTCTTCAACGTCGAGATTGTATTCAACGTCCAGATGACAGATATCTACTGAGGGAGAAGTTCACTTGACTTACACCTTTCACGTTGTAGTGTACAAATACCATCGATCTACAAGTAGGTGGTCTCAAATCTGAACGAATTCGTTTGAGTGAATCTTCTGGGCAGATTTTCTCGGATTTGATGATAGGCTATCGCATAACAGTCACTTTCTCTTCACGAAAGTTCAGTACTGTACTGTACCTGTGTAACTATCACGGAGCTCCTCACTGACTGTGGAAGTGTTTGAGAACATTAATTTTCGGAAAGAGATGGGACGTGTATGAGAAAACTTCATTAGAGGGCCCGAACGTACGCACTTGAACTCACAGTATGATCCACCTGCTTGCAGCAGAAGAAGATCTGCGCTTGTTGACTAGGGTGGGGAACCATCAGATTGAGGAAGTATGGTGCTCCTACAGGTTCCTTGGTTCGGATACAGAGAGAGGAGGTGCAGTGGTGCACTAGATAGTGGATGGGCAACGATTTCATTCGCCTCTTGTGACGTACGGACCCTACTGAATAAATTTCACATGCAGTCTGAGTGAGGGAAATCAATAATGCCTTACCTCTGTGGAGAAGGTAATCAAAGACACTAAAGAGAAATTGCACCAAGGCTATTCGTTGCCCATCACTGGCGGTGGTGGTGGTGCCAAAACTGTCAGTGCACATGCGACCAGATCGACGACCGACTTCAGAACATGAGACGGTGATTTCTGAGAGTGAATGGATCAGTACAGTACCAAGCATGCAAGTTCTTTATCAACTGATGGGATAGGAAGGAAGGAAGGAGCGAGCAGGGTGCTCAGTGTGCAACAATCATCATCTTCGTCCGTCTTCCGAACCAGGGTACAGAGAACGTGTATGTGGCGAGGAAACACTCTTCCTCTCTTTACGCAGGTTGTCGAGAACTGCAATTCCAATCATGGTAGGACTGCGAACAGAGCAAGCGAGAAACATCTGAATCCTTCCCGTGTACAAGTGTACCTAGTAACGGATCAGACTCGCGTCTGGGTCTCAAGTAAGAAGAAGAGCCGG